AACTGTGGGGCTTCCCAGTCAACCCCCCCAACAAATGGGACATGTCAGTTTCTCACAGAATGGGGCCGGGGTCAAGCTCCAAGCGTGCACATTCAACAAGTACACATGTTGAATCTAGCTAATACAACCTCAGGAGTGGACTCGGAGGTTTTACCTCCAAGACAGGTCCAAACTCAAAGCTGGTGAGAATGCCTTGGTGATCATATGTGATATGCCCAAGCCTCAGACCGAAGATGTTCCATGACCCAAAAGAGCTCTTTGTGCTTCCAAATGCGCACGGAACGGGCGGCACCCGTGCCTCTTCGGTTCTGAAGGCTGTTCAGTTCCTGAGAGTCTTTGGCATCTCGAAGGATGAATAAATTCCACACTTAGGCGTCGTATGCCAAGACTATATAGATCTGTAACTAGATAAAGAGAACTATATACAGATATAGATCTGATTAGATCTGTAACTATTTAGATCTGAATATAGATCTGTAACTAGCCCTTGTTCGCAAACATGTTCAAACCACATCGTCCCACATCCTGACAGATCGACTCCTGTTCCACTCTCCACCCGCGACATGCATGGCGTCCCGGAGTCCTTCGCGGGGTGAGGCCTCACAAACCTGGAAACCGGCCGCGCTAGCCGCGTCACCAGCGAGTCGGATGACCGGTCTCCGGTAGAAGGCGTGCAGTGCAATGAGGAAGAGTTCACATCTACGGGGATTCTATTCGATGTTTCAAGACTCAAATCTAGTGTGGAGACCCTCGATCCGAATGAGGTTTAGGTCCAACTGCCTCCATGACTCCATGCGCCAGGCAGTGCAAACCATGTTTTTCCCCTCGCCGGCTTAGCACTCTCGCCTGCAAGGCCTTGCGGCAATCCAACAAAGCGGCCTTGGCACAGGTGAGCAGCCAAGTCGGGTTGGGTCGGGGAGGTGAAAGCAAGCTCTTCGAGAACGTCTGCGCATGGCTGTGGAGCACAAGCGGGGGCATCCTGGTTGATACCTGAAAATGAACATTTCTCTATAACAAGGAATGTGAACCTTCCGTGCTTTGGTGGAGGAGGTTGTGACCCACTAAGTTCCTCTCCATTTCGCCTGTGGAAACTCCACCCATTTCGCCTCGAAGCGCTCCGCTTGTGCCACCGCCCGCAGCAAGTCGGCAGCTGCCCCGCGAGGCACTGGCGGTCGGATGCACCAGGCAGGTTAAAAAGAGCGGTGACAGCATGACACCATTGTATAGTGTAGGACTCACATGTCTTTTTTTTGAGGGTATTCTAACTGCAATTTGTTTATGTTTTGAATATTCTAACTGTTGGTCTTATACTATATAGCTTAGAATTAAAACCCAGTTGAGCTGTTGCGGGGTTTTTCCAAAGGTGACTTGGACTTGCCAGGCTTCACCACTCCACCTGTGGCTCGCTCATCTGCCAGCGCGAAGCACATGCGGAAGCCGTTCTGCACCTGGGGCTCAGTGGCTGAGTGGTGGGATTTGGCAACTGTGCCGGGTGTCACAGGTGGATCGTGAAGGCTACTAACCCCCCCTTCCAAACTAGTGGCTGGTCTGTCGTTCAGCGCTATGGGGTTAAATCACCAATGATATCACCCTGCCGGGTGAGCCACCCAGTGTACTTCATGGCAACCCGTTATCACAATACGGGATCGTGGGTCATGGGTCACGGTATGCAAAAACAGGAAAGGATGACAGTCCTCTTGAAAGCGCGCAGAAGAAAGTTCCACGCCGAAACACTCAACAGCATCCAGGAGCTGTCTGTGAAGCCTCCAGCTGATTTCGCAGTTTCCAAGAAGGTCCTCCAACCAACGCCCACATGTCTATCTCCGCGGGGTCGCTGCCAAGCGAAGCGAAGCAGTCACTCTGAGGCGGCGGCTTCCAGCGCCCAGAAAAGCCACCTTGCTTTGATTTGAGTGTCACAAAGGCAGGGGAGACACACAACATAAGGTTTATAGCACATCTGGACAAATGTTTTTAAAAAATACATGTTTGGAGGGGGTTCTACTTTGAATTCCTTGGTTGCATCTTCCACATCAGTTGCGCCACTATGTGCAGCATCTTCGATGTTGCTTGAGGTTTCCTTCCCTGCCTGCCATTGAGGTACCCAAACGCAAATACATAAAACCATGAATTGTCCTTCCCTGCTGCTAAGTTGGAACATGTAATGTACACCGACTAAATCTTACCTTCAGCTCTGAAAAATAAATGTGCTCAGGGCACAAACACATATGCATGAACAAATCGTTTTTCTGTGATACCACTCTGGCAGGCGGTCTTGTATACGTTTTCCCGTCCCAGCAGCCCTCAGCAGTGCTACTGCAGTGCCCCCAACCCAAACCACTAATGCAACCATCTGTATTAAAAACCTGGTGCCTTTTTGCGCTAAAAGGTGCGTGCCCTCAGTCACAAAAACGCCTCCAAATTTGCCAGTGGTGGCACTCCATGGCGGGTTTCTGGTGGCACTGAGACCTGTTGAAGTCTGGCTATGCTGGCCCTGCCCAGCTGGACTCCATGGATTTATGGGAAGATCCATTTGCTCGCAAAAGGTCTCCAAATGAGTTGAGGGCATCAAGCACCACCATGAACATATCCTGGCATCCACAGTAGTCCCCTCACATAGCCATCATATCTTAAGTGGTCCTGCCAAATGCGACAACTTTTAAAGTGCTCAGTTAGAGTCATGAGCCAGTCTTCTGATGAAGTTAGTTACACTTACATCATGTTGCAAGCATATCATTTCCTTTCCTGCTTTGGCAGCTGGTGACAGAATGCGGCGTTGGAGGCAAAAGTCTTGAAATCTTCTTCACAAAAACTGGATGGGCAAAGAACTACACATCCTACCCATTGCACTGAGCCATTCCAAAGCAGTCATGCTCTGCCTGGACAGACCAGCATTTGGTGGTCAGTCAGGTAAACGCAGCCCTGCGACTTCCAAACTTGTCAACGGTCTTCAAACCGAAGGAGTGATGTTCACCCCGCAACTTGTTGTCTCCCTGCCGGTCTTCTCTCTCCACGGCACCATTGTGTTTTGACATGCTTTGATGCATGGGCACCTGTGGCCCATCGAATTCGAGCACGTCGCAGCTGTTGGCTCTGAAGGGGGTCTCATACACAGCTCCTGCAAGTCTTGGCGGTCTTGCCTTCACTGCCCAATGAGACCCCCTGCAGGCGGCGACGGCCTATTGAAACACACTATATATATGATATATGGATCCCCGTTATAATTTCTGGCTTGAGAGCTTTTCCTCTTCCTTGTTCCTACACATCATCTTGCACAATTCTACAGGATTGTGGGTTCTCAGTTTATTTTTGTTGCAACATGATAGGTTCTGCACCCCCCTTTAAAACAAACACTACGACAAAATGAGGTTCCAGGGATACCGTAGCCAAGTCTTGGTACAAACAACATGTTCCAAGGCTTGGTGAGTCCCAAATTTTGGAGTTGCTTTTGACAAAGACTTGGGCACACCAAGTGTTAGTTTAACTTGAGCTTATATAGCCAAACATCATTACAACATGAGATCTTCAACGGTTTTTCTTACACAATGACATGTCCGAATTCGGAAAATCACCACGAAACGGAGGCCTTGGCCTTGGCACATCTCATTTTACCTACAACATGCAATGGTGTCCCGTGAGCCTCCAAAAATACCTTTTACAAAAAAACGTGGAACGTACATCGGGTGTGCAATTTGTCGGCTCAAAAAGTGATTTTACTAAAGAATGGTGGCTCTATAGTGGCCTCAAGGTCCGCCATTCTGGAAAGGACACTTCAACGGGGATCTCTGTGGAAGATGAACCTATGGGTCACCATGGCTCATGGTGACGACCACGGTGCCCTGTCGAAAGTCCTGGGTGAAGGAGGCACATCATCCCACTTCGCCCAGGTGTCCGACTCACTGTCAGGCCTGGCAAGTGCAGGTGGACACGTGGGGAATTTCGATTCATCCGTTGAAGTTATCTCTATCGACCAGTTAAAAGCGGATAAACCCATGCAACACCCAGAACAATTTGCCTGTGCCCAACTTCCTTGTTAAGGGTTCAAACTTTATATATTCAATTTGGCGTGTCAAGTGGCATCTTGTTCGGCTTGGACTGTTTGGTCCCAATTGCTCGGCTTTTCTTACATGCCCCTACCATGAAGGATGAAGACTTACAGCTGCATGCCCTCTTCGTCCGTTTTTCACCTTCAGGACACTCCCCACACACAAACATACAAACATACACACACAAACATACATACATACATACATACATACATACATACATACATACAAAACAAAACAAAACAAAACAAAACAAAACAAAACAAAACAAAACAAAACAAAACAAAACAAAACAAAACAAAACAAAACAAAACAAAACAAAACAAAACAAAACAAAACAAAACAAA